ACCATAGACCTTGGTAAATTTCCCCCATTACCATTCTTAGGGAAAGCAAAGGTCTCACCTGGACAGCCAACCTCTCACCATGGAAAAACAGTAACCCTGAGAACAAAATGAATGAAGAATATGTTGGTTCTGCTTACTTAGACTGAGGAGGTACCGTTTGTCGCACACCATCTTTATTCAATACGTGTATTGTGCTTATATTGAAAGTAGCACAACTTCAGAGATGACTACCAGGGCTGCTAAAGCAGGCCAGTAAGACTAGTTAATCTTTGATGATTTTGCAGTCTATTAAATGGTGTTTGTATTAAAGGTGCGTGTATCTAAAGGCGCCGTAGACACCAAAGGCTGCTCCAAACTAAATTTGTTGTGCCGATAAAAGGTAATTTGGAGTATGCAACACATAGCAGTCTGCTTGGTCTTTCATATTGTATATGTCAGACCAGCAGATTTTGTGGGAAGCATAAGGTTCTGGAGCAGCCAAGACTCTCACTCCAGATGTTCTATTAAATCTTTAATGTTCCTTTTTCAGTTGCACCCCGACATGGTGTAACCCAAGCATGAGCCCTACTGTTTAGGCATGAAAGGCCCTGAGAGGTTTCAAATGGTCTATGGAAAGAGAAGAAGGCGGGGAAAGCATTGTTCCTATCATGTCTCCCCAGCCCAATGGGTGTCCCTCTGCTGCATTCCCTTATCTCTTATTTTTCCTTTTCCCCTAGCTTGAGAATTCTGCAAAGTTTTGAGCCTAGCTGGGAGCAGAGGAAACCTGAGGCATGGCCCTTTTGGCAAAGGGCTGCTTGATGGTCCATCCCAACAGCTGTAGCAGCTCAGAGTGCCAGTCTGTAGAGAAATGCGTCCGGTGTCCCTAAGTGGGCAGCTTCACGCCATTCCCCACCTCGTGCTCAGGGAGGGCGTCCTGCTGAGACACATCAGGAAGATAGAACACACAAGGGTTGGTGAAGCTGGCCAAAGCCCATTGGTAAAAAGACAGCTGGAAATATTAAGGTTAGGAGAACCCAGTGCTTACTTTCTCCACAGGCATGCAGTCTCCTGCAGCCCCTTCGTGGGGCTTAGCTCCTACAGAAGGGTTATTTAAAGAGACTAACATACTTTAAAAGTGATTGGCGTGTCTGTAGCCAGATAACTGCCCTCCCCCAAGTGGCAACCAGCTTCCTTCCCCCCTGCAGGAGAAGCCTTCTGAATCCCACAAGCTCCCAGCTCTACTCTGCTATGCACATCCTTCATTGGTGCCCTGTGACACTTGCCCCAGGGTTAAACTAAAGCAATCTTGAACAGCAGAACCACCTCCGTGTGTGGTGTGATATAGTCGTATCCTCAGCAACCAGCGTTGGGTTTTGCAGCATGCTTGTAAAGCTTGTGTTGTGCACCTTTCTAGTGGTTAACGTGCATAGAGGATAATAGTCTACTGTTGCTACCAGCAGGTGGAGTAATTCTTTTAGATCAAGTGTTAGAGGTCAGAGTTTTGGTATTGGGCAGGCGAGGCTCGAACCCACCAGACACTTCATAGGGAGGGTCGGTGCAATGTTTGATATTGATTGAGGTGACAAATGAGCTGTTCAGTAGCAGAGCTCCAGTTTCTATGCCAATATGGGCTACTACTAGCAACAACAAAGAGACACACCAGGCTGTACAAGCAGAAATGCTTCTACACTTTGGTTGACTATGTTTCCCATGTGGTCTCTGTGGCTTGTGCTTCCTTGCTTCCCAGCTCCTCCACTAAATGAAAAATGGGTAAAGGGAAAAGGATCTTTTGTTCCCCCTCACTGCTCATTCTGAAGTTGGGCAACTTTCATGCAATAGTTTGCTGCAAGCTCCAATCACAGTGACGGGCAAATACCCAGGAGCAAGGATTGTCTCCTTCCCAAATAGCCACCTGCATCTTTTCTTCCTTTTCCCCACAGTCACACTGAGCTAGACAACAGGGTGCCCAAAGCAGCTAGAGTATGCAATACCCAGGCTTGCTTCCTCCCTCTCTGACACTCATGCCCTGTCCCAAATCCTGCACCAATCACACCCTCCTCTCCATAGGTGACTTGTGGAAGCATTCTGGAGTGCACTGCCCTCTTACGCCCACACCGAAATGTTAATTGCTACATGGGTCTGCCCCTTTCCCGTCCCTCTGGGTGTCCCACCCTGTATGCCATCCCCTGCAGGCATCAGTTAATTGCCACTGCCTCTCCCCTTCCCCTCACCTTCTGGTTTACAAAAACATATTTAAGTCCACATACAGCCAACAAGCCACATGCTTCTGGAACCTCCTAACCCAAATTTCCTGGCAGAAAAACACAGGATCTGGGGCTGTTGGGCCTCCAGTTTCTATAGCCAATGGGTCTGCAGGGGATACTGCTGTCCCCTTCTTTCTCCTTGGTGGGCATATCATGTGGAAGCCTTGACTTCTATTTACAGCCCCTGCAAGTTCATTTTTCTCATTATGCAGTTTGTCATTTCAATTCCTTTCTATTCTCCCCCAGGACTTTCAAACTCAGACCTCGTAATGTGGACTCTCCAAAGACCTGTCTCTTATAGATAGCTCCAGCCAGCCATCTCCTAGACCCCTGGAAACAGGGCTGCGCTTTTTGTTCTTTCCCTCCTCAAGGAGACTGTTCTCCAAAGAGCTGAGCCCTCAGGGCGAGCCCTTTTAGATCTTGTCCATTGTTCCATCAGAATGAACATCCTGTATTGGAGATGAGAGGGAATTTATGTATGGCCTCTGAGAAACATTCTGGGGAAATTCGCAGTGAGAATGTTAATCAAGCAAGTCAAGGTGGTTGGAAGTTGTGGCAGGGCGGGTGAGAGGGGGAAGGAGAGAGAGAAATCTAAATACATTAATTAGTTCCACCAATTCAGGGAAAGAACTGTGATTGAATAATTTACCTCTAAGGAGATTTGGGTCCTGTCCTCTGGATTTCACTCATTGGCAGGAACAAAAGGCAATTTCTTACCCCAGTGGCTTGGCTGGCTTGTGCGGGGAAAACAGGAGACAGAAAGAAGGGGGGGGGGGAGAATCTTCACGTTTGGGCCGCCAGGCACGGGAGCTGAAGGCAGTGGGCAAGTGAATGCAGTCTGAGGTCAACAATATCTTTCTTTCAGATGGGGAAGAAAGCAAAGACTTGTATGGCTGCTCTCAATGTTGCCTCTTCTGGGACTAGAGGGCATCCGGTCAGTCTCAGGCAGGCTCTCTCATCAGCACTAAATGCACCCATATAAACAGAGAAAATAGCAGTTTTATAATAAAGAAAAGAGGGGAAAAGTCAAAGTAGTTTTCTCTTCTCTCTTCTTTGAGAGTTGAACTCTCAGCGAGCTGACTTAGCAAGTGAGCCCAGACACCACTGATACTTGTTTTACAAAAGAAGGTGCTCCTGTAATAGTTGCTTGGGAAAAGCCTAGACAGGAATCAAAAGAAGAAAACATTTATCTGCGGCCCAGTTCTAATACATATTGTGAGCTGGAATAAAACAGACTTGGATGCTAAACACCCAGCTAGGATTACAAACCCTCAGATCATTTTGTCCAGCCTTGCTCATTCAAGTATGCATTTCAAGAGGCCACTTGCTCTGCAAAATGTAATTAATGCCAACAGGTGGCTAATGCCGCGCCTCTTGAAAATGCATGCTGGGATCGTTAATCCAGCTAAGGCTCTATCAAGTGACATAAAACCAACTGGGGATGCAAGTATTGGTGTAGGGATGGGAGTGTATTAAAATTAGATCAACTGAGAATTATTAAAATCACACACAAACGCACACACCCCAACTGTAAAGGTGGCCTACCTGTCATGCATGTGTTTGGAATAGTGATAGTTCCGATCAAAAGCTGTCCTGAGATGTCAGCTCCACAGGAATCCTCTAATAAAACAGAAGGAGGAAAGTTATTTACTTAGTTTATGGAGACCTCCACATTTTCATTTTAATGGGACACGGTGCTCGACAGAAACTTATTGTACATTCAAGTGCGGTTGCCAGGGCTTACACAAATCACCAAGTCTATTTTCTTCTCTTGTTTGCCGCTTGAGTGGGCTGCCATGCCAAGGGACGACTCAGCATTTTGTCAGGTTGGCGCCTGGCTTTCCTCTTCCTGCAGCATTTTACGTGAGGCTGCCTTGCTCACAAACCAGCATTTGCAGTCATCTCCACCAGCTTGTCTTGCACCTCGAGATGCACGGCGGGAGTGAAAGCCAGAACTATGTAACAGACAAGACAGTGGCAGAACGCAGGTGTGGGAGCTGTGTTCAATGCAGGAGGGAAGTAACGGGGAACAGGTTTCCAAGCACAGCAGCAATTTAGACCTGTATCGTTCAGTTCCGTTGACCCAAATGACTTGGGAGGAGATTGGGTAAGCTCAGACCTGGGCTGTGATTGACATTTGGAACAAGACAGCTGCGTGCCACCTGCCTTTTCACTTCCTGGGAAACTTGAGCTATGTCCTGAATCCTAGACAACATGTCGGTCTCTTCTTCTGATACATATCTGTGGCCCCATCGAGTCTCTAAAAGAAAAAAAGCACGAAGGCTATTTTGCAGTGAAACAACCATTTTCCCCGGTAGATCCATGGGATAAAATGTAGCTTGTGTAGAGGGCTAGCACGGTGTATGTGTGCCGTGTAAGTCATTCTAACCCACCAGGGGCCTACACTAAACTCTCCCAAAATCTCACTCGTGTCTCCCCTGAGTGAGCGTGTAAAAATGTAACAGGCTGGTCAGCTGGATGAAATATAAAATAAGTTGCTAACTTCAGCTCCCTTCATCTTCCTGCTAGGGCATGCTCTGCTCTCTTGCACTGGGGTAGCACGGGTTAAACTTTTTTGGCAAATGTCTTAGTTGGCAAATGTTTGCCCCAAAATCGGAGCTTTGGGTCAACCAAAACTGTTCATGAATTCAGGTCAAATTTGGCAACTAGTTTTGGCTGGGAGTAAAAAAGAAGGGAACTGCATAAAAAAAAACATAAATTGCTGTGTGTCAGATCTTCAAACCTGGCTGCTGAAAATTAGACACCTAAATCCATATGTGGACATCTCAATAAACTTGCCCTGATTTTGAGAAGTGTTGACTTTCTACAGCTCCCATTGAATTCAGTGGGGTTTTTAGCATGGCTATTTTAGTAGGTTTTATGCAATTTAATAAGTTGTGTTTATTTTTGTTTTTAATGTAAATTGCAACATGCCATCACACTATTTAATAGATAGCTCAACTGGGCACCAATACAAGAAAACACAGAGGCACCTACTTCAGAAGGCGCCACTGAAGTCAACCAAGCTACTCTCCTGCTTAAACGTACATGAAAGCTTACGTGCTTTGCGGCATCGGTGCTGACATGAGATTCTCAGTGGCACCTCATGGGACAGTTCACAGTTTTCCTCCTCAACTTGCCCCTGGATGTCTTTGCTGAGGGGTCTGCACTTCCCCAGCTGTGGTCTGTCACCTTCCAAATGAGACTAGCAGATCGGGAAGGTGTCACTTGACTGGTGAGCAGAACAGAGAACTGTTTTCAGGAGTTCTGTTCACCTTTTAAAACCCTAAACGTGCATTCTGAGACGCTGCTTTGGAAAGGCAATGAGGCTAAGTAAATATCTTGAGTGAGGAAAGCTGGGGTGTGATTAAAACACTGGTACTCTGTAAACCTCACTTTGATTTCTGCCTGTACCACCAACTTCCTCTACAGTGTAGGATAAGTCACTTTAACCCCCATCTGTAAAAGGGGGAAAATTAATGCTTTCTTGGTCATGTCTATTTAGACTCCAAGCTCTTTGGGCAGAGACTGCCTGTCAGTTTGGGTATGTGCAGCACCTGGCACAATGGGCACTGAGCCCTTTTTGGCCCTGTAGGCACACCTCAATACGAATATTGATGATGATAAAACCTGAAGCACTGGGAGTGACCCGTCTGTCTGACTTGGGCAGCCCAGCCACTCAGTAGCTACAGTACATAATTGAGAGCTGAGCCCGTCTGGTTCTGACAAAGGTTTTGCTGCACACTCTTTGGTTTCGGCCCCGCTTCTTTCCTCATTCTCGTAGAATGTGACCCTCTGTCTTGTCTGTGTTCTCCGGTTGGGATGGCTTGTTCTAAAGTTGTTTCAAGTGGGTGTTAGACTTTTTCCTCTCTGCTAGACTGTGAACATAGGGCGTCAGTGCCTGCATAAAGAAATATCGCATCATTTTCGGTAGCTGCCTGCTGAAAATCTAAAGGAAATGTTTTTAGTACAATCTTGTGGATAAATAGTGGTTTTCAATTTTCTGTTGGGTTTGAAGCTGGCATTACACTAAGCCATAATATGTGAGATTCTACTTCCATTCTTCTCTCAGAGCCAATGTAACTGAATATTGAATACTCTTCAAAACCAGCCATTTACAAATTGCAGCAATACAGCACTTAGCTTTCACTTACAGTGATAAACCTCTTGAAGAAAGATACATGTATCCTGATGTATTATTAATAGCTTAGACTTATTTAGTGACCTTCTTCTGGAAATATCCCAGTTATTTACAGAGAATACTGTAACAGACATTACTCAGTGGCTGCTGAAATCCATCCGCTTCTGAGAACACTGCATCCAATCTGTGCCAGAAGAAACACTCGGTGCCAATTTAGTGATAACTTCTCTGCTTGCGAGGGCAGATGAAATTGAAAGACAATGGACAAAGTGTTGTTTTCGGTTACAACAATGTCTATTCACTCTGCTGTCTCTGCAGTTATGTCAGATACTTGCCAACATCACCCAGGGCAGAATTTTGTTGCTGAAATGTCGCTATCCAAACTGGAATTGGATCATTACACGGCTTATGACACTGACCACTCTCTTTGGCAAAAGGCCGCTAGGGAAACTGTAATAAACCCAGATGAATCAAAGCAGCAGTAGGCAACCAAGACTAGTGAGTGGGCTGTACGAGTGGTCCTCCTTGGTCTCAGTGGGCCGCCTGACCAATTGTGGGCAACCTCTGGTCCATGGCCCACTGGGTTTTCACCTTCAGCCTGCGCACCCCTTCTCTGGACTCTTCCCCCACATGCTTCTCACACCCTAGAGCCCCACATTTCTCCTGCCAGCACTTCTGGAGTACCATGATTTGGCTGATTCTCTCTCCTTCCCCACACCAGCCCTTCTTGCCCAGAGACTGAACTGCCGCAAACAGCTGGTTCAGGGCCTTCCGGCTCTGAGAGGGAGGGAAAAGAGCAAAGATGGAGAGAGGATCAGTGCATTTGTGGGAGCAGGGCGAGGAGTAGGAAGTTCAGGGCTCCGGTGACCCTGTGCACGAGAGGCGTGTGGGGAAGGGAGCTCCTATAGGGGGACTGCAAGCAGTAGGTGGACTCTTGGGGGCTGCAGGTTGCCCACCACTGGATCAAAGGAATTGGGTTTTATTTCTCACCCAACAGAAGAGCATCTTCTCACGCCATGGTGACGTGCCAGTTCAGTTCTGACCATATATAACTGTAGGGGAAAACAGAGCTGCTCCCCATTCTTTATTTCTGCGGTGCACACACTCAGCCGTCCATGTAGCTTCTCCTTTTCATCCCAGCTGCTATTCTCCCTGCCAGGCCCTGGGTGGGGATTCTTTGCTCCCTTCACAACAGCTGGAGAGATTGCGGATATCTAAAGGCAGGTAGTGAGACACACGACTTGTGCATCTTGTGCAGTTTGCCCCAAGGATCGGTTCTAGGACCGGTTTTGTTCAACATCTTTATTAGTGACCTGGATGACGGGATGCATTTCACCCTCGGCAAGTTTGCAGGTGACACTAAGCTAGGAGGAGAGATAGATATGCTGGAGGGCAGGGATAGGGGCCTAGACAGATAACAAGACTGGGCCCAAAGAAATCTGATGAGGTTCAACAAGGACAAATGTAGAGTCCTGCCCTTGGGACAGAAGAATCCCAAGCATTGTTACAGGCTGGGGACCAACTGGCTAAGTAGCAGTTCTGCAGAAAAGGACCTGGGGGTTACAGTGGATGAGAAGCTGGATATGAGTCAACAGTGTGTCCTAGTAGCCAAGAAGGCTAATGGCATATTAGGTTGCATTAGGAGGAGCGTTGCCAGCATATCCAGAGAAGTGATTATTCCCCTTTATTCGGCAGTGGTGAGGCCACATCTGGAGTATTGTGTCTGGTTCTGCCCCCCCCCCTCCTTCCCCCCCGCTATAGAAAGGATGTGGACGCATTGGAGAGGGTCCAGCGGAGGGCGAACAAAATGATTAGGGGGCTGGAGTGCATGACGTATGAGGAGAGGCTGAGGGATTTGGGTTTGTTTAGTCTGCAGAAAAAAAGTGAGGGGGGATTTGATAGCAGCCTTCAGTTTCCTGAAGGGAGGTTCCAAAGAGGCTGGAGAGAGGCTGTTCACAGTAGTGACAGATGGCAGAACAAGGAGCAATGGTCTCAAGTTACAATGGGGGAGGTCTAGGTTGGAAATTAGGAAAAACTATTTTCCTAGGTGGGTGGGGAAGCGCTGGGATGGGTTCCCTAGGGAGGTGGTGGAATCTCCATCCCTAGAGGTTTTTATGTCTCGTCTTGACTAAGCCCTGGCTGGGATGATTGAGTTGGGATTGGTCCTGCCTTGGGCAGGGGGCTGGACTTGATGACCTCATGAGGTCTCTTCCAGCCCTATGATTCTATCTTGAGGTGCAGGGAATTCAACCCATGGGGAGATACATTTCTGCAAAGAAAGGTTCTGGTCTGCTACCCATTAACTCAAAGGGAACCTTTCCATTGATTCTAGTGGAAAGCGTAAGGGCTTAGTTCTTCCTGACTGGCCAGATAGTCAAAAAGGCTCACGTGTTTTGACTTTGATTTTCAAAAGTGCCGAGCACCCAGCAGCTGCCATAGTGACACTTCCGACTTGATGTCCCCCAAAAGCCCCATGTCTCTGAATGGCAGCTCAGCTGTTCTGAAAATCCAGCCCTGATTTTTGAGCGCTGAACACTATGAAAATCTGGCCTATAGTGCATTACCAGCATTGCTGTGTGCGTTTGAGTCTAGAGGCATTTCTGATCTATGAATCTCTAGCATTTTGTTTCACGCGTCCTCCCTTATCTTTCCAGCATCATGTTGGTCTGAGTACACTTTGCTCTCTCTCACTTTCCCCTCTGTGTTCCATGCAGTATGTTCATCATCATTTCAAGGGGTCTGACTCCCCATTGGAGCGTATGTTTATACAGCTGGCCAATCACCGACTGCCTCCTGAAGCTGAATGGCTGATGAAATCTGATCACGGAGCTGGAAAAGTTTTAAAACACTTTATCAAAACTTGTTCTGCCCAGCTCCCGCAGGAGCACAGTGCTTTCGCTTGATCCAGAGTTCAACTCTTTTGAAGTTTTC